TTTAGAGTTTGGGGACTTCTGAGTGAGAAGTCACGTCTTTCTGGCTCGTAGTCTTTGCTGATTTTTATTCTGTGAGTTTGTCCAATGGCTCTTTAAGCTGTGCAAACTTGTAGCGTTCATCGTGTCCTGTAGTGCTGAGTCTTCTAGGTGGAAGGTGCACTTCCTTTAGTTTGTTCTGGTCATGATACCTGACAATATGATTTGTTCCCTAATTCTTCTGCTCTGTTAGGAAAGATGGTAAATAATCATTTAGTGATGTTGTACACAGCTGTATGGATTTCTGTTATATCCCTTTGTTTTTATCCTTTTCAAGTTAAGAGGCTTTGTTGTTCCCTCTGTGATGCTATGCCATTCCTTTGGGCATCCTTCTTGCCTTTTTCTGTAGTTTTTCTTTTTGTAGGTTTGTGATCAGGATGCTGGTCTGCATATGGTGTTTAGGATGCAGGTGCACTGAGCTCTAAAGGCCTAATTTTTTTCTGGTTGATTTTCTGCTTGTTTCCAAGTAATCTTGTTGTTTTATTTGTTTTTCTGACTGCTCGTAAGCACGGAGCCGGTGTTTTTAAAGAGCTATCTATTGTAACCCCAAAATCTTGCTCCTAAACAATAATAGGTGGCAACAGGCTCTGACCTATCTTTTCCCATGTGCAGTATTTTACACTTCTCTCCATTGCATTTTATCATCCAGTGTTTTAGTACTGTGAAGTCCTTTTTCAACTCTTTGTAGTTGGTCCTTGTCCTTCCCACCCCAGATGAGTGACTTCGTCACCAAGCATTGTAACTTTGCTTTTCAATCTCTTTTTCAGAACATTAATGGATGTTTTTATCAGAACTTTGGCGACTATTTCTTTCATGATTTTTTGATAGATAACATATTTTTGGTATTTTGATGTATATTTAACTTGTCTTTTTTTGAAACATAACTGCTTTAAAATACTGTCATTTTTATAGCATCCAAATATTGGATGTTGTTTGGAAAGCATTGATTTCGGATAGCAAGGGGATGCTCTAAAGTGCATTGAAGTTAATGATCTCAGTGAACTTCAGCTCTTGTCATGGAAGTAAGGACTGGGATCCCAGTCCAACAAATTCTTAGTTAGTGTATCTGTTCCCATTTATTTTATGATATATTTAAGAAACATGAAGCGTATCTCTAAATGTTCACAGCACCAAAGCCTTAGAAAGAGTATAGGCCATAGAAACTTGAAGAAACAGTATTAAAAAAAGATAATTTTGTGGCAGGAAAGTGCAGAAGCTTCTTCTTAACTCTCAGTTTCCTGGTCTTTGGCGTTTATTCCCATAAGCTTCATTAAATACCAGCTGAGATATTTGGGATCTTTTTTTTTTTTTTCCCAGAGATTTTCATAAGTCATCCATGTAAGGGACTGAATCCTGCTCTTAATTTAGTGGATGGTCTGAAGTTCAATCAGAATAGGATTTGATGTTCAGGAGTCGAAAGGAAAGGTAGTCATGTCATTTGAAAAACTGCATTTTATATCTGTGCAAAATGGCCAGTCCTCTTCTCAAGTTGATTAATGCATTTTTTTTTAAATTGCTTAACTCTTGTTACTATTAAATGCAGTGCTTGACAAATGAGATGTGAAGCAATAATAGATCATTTTCACAGTGAAGGGAACATGGTGCTTATAATGCTATAGTTTAGTATTTTATACAGGTCCACAGATGTACAGATTGCTCATGAAAAATAAGAGATACTTCCATGCCCTGAGACCGTAGAATGCACATACTGGATTAGAATAGTCGTAAACTTTACACGATCATCTTCAGGATTAGGACTAATATCAATTCTGTGCATTTACATGAATGAAATGTTAATTTCTAATGCTTTAATGAAATGTTGAGGCATCTGCCAGCTTGATGGGAAAAAGCTTCTGCTCACACACAGTATTGCAGCCAGTGGAGATGCTCAGGTCAGCATTTTGTTGTTTCTGGGAGAATGCTTTGCTCAAAAGATGCCTTGGGTTCTGGAACCGCTTGCAAACAGACACCACAGTGCTTGTAAACAGACCCACAATATTTTGACCCTTTCCAGGCTGCCTGAAAAAGACCCTTGACTTGTACTTTTCTCTCCTTAAAAACAATGAATGTAAAAACTAACAGCACATAAAACTGTTTGCATAATGACAGTGATTAAACTTTTTTCAAATTGAGCAGATATTTAAAAAAAAAAAAAGTTGATATTTAAATAGAGGTCATACATGATTGCTGTCCCTGCAGTAACACTGTACATCTCAGGTATGTGTATTTTCAGACCTGACATTAAAAGGCACTACTCTTCTTTCTTTCAGTGAACTGGAGCGTCTGAGCAATCTAGTTGGTAAACCATCTGAGAACCATCCCCTTCACAATAGTGGACTGTTGAGCCTAGATCCTGTTCAGGACAAAACACCTCTTTACAGCCAACTTCTTCAAGCCTACAAATGGTCAAATAAGGTAACAAAACATATCAATATTAAATAACTGACTTCTTAGAGACCTCCATATTGGGCAATGTAGTTGGTATTTCTACAGAACATTTGATTTACAATACGGTAGACCTCAGTATTTGAGACTGTCAGAATTGCTGAAATTATTATGGATTTGGGGACCATAATGTACATTTAAATGTATTTTGAAGGATAAAAATGATATTTTAATTGAGAGGAGAGACTAGGGCAGCCTTAAGGTGCTCCCTTGTTTTTCTAGGAGAGTGTTACCTCCCAAAGGGAATAATGCTTTGTGTTAGCTGTTTAGCTCCTTGCCTTATGTAAATGTCAAACAAAAGTACGTTCTGTCCTTGCATCTGCCCTTGTAACAGAGGGCAATGGGATGTTAAAGCAGAGAATTAAGAGCTTTTGTCACCTCTAAACCTATTTCTAGGAAAGAAATTTAGAGAGAAGTTGTTATAATCGGAAAGCTTGATTGCTTTCCATGCTGTTTGCTTCTGCTAAAACCATTTGCACCTGATCTCAGAGGTATAAGTCTGGATTGAAAATCTTTGGTATAGCTAATGGTTCTGGACTGTATATATTGCATTGAATTTAAAATAATGTAAAAAAAATAGTTTATGCAGATGTTAATGCATTTTTTAATGATTGTTTATGTTGGGGAAAAAATTATTTCCGATGAGAATAATTCAATTCAATAATCCTGTTTGCTGCATATATCTAGAGACAGAAGCTGGACAGATATCTTTCCTTTTCTGCCCTGAATGTAGTCTGGTTGTGGTGGATCAAAAATATCCCTTTCCTCACATCTGATTTTATTTAATGAGTAACCATTGTATTATTGCACTGATTCTTTTTATTACAAATCCCAATCTGAACACCAATATGCTTCTGATTGCCTGCTCCTATCCTGAGTTTTTAAGCACGTTTATTACTTTTTATAGCAACATTTAAATGAATATATATTTAAAAGCTTTTTAAATTATTTATTTTTGAAGTACTAATGAGCTGGTACAAAATGTAAAAGATGCATTCATTTCAATTATAATCATTGTTACTAGTGAGAGACTCCGCAGTTGTAGCTCTTAACAACTATGTGCAAGACAGCAGGAGTTAGCAAGAATAAGAAGTATGGAAATATTTGGGCATTTAAAACAAACAAACAAAAAAAAAAAGATTCCACTCTAAAGTATTTACCGTGATACATGAGCAAGGAAGGCTTTCAGGCTGTACAAGACCTTACTAGGCAAAATCTTGTTATAAACTGAGCCAACTGCACTGATATTATTCAGATATAGTTTAAAATCCCACAATAACGTTTGTATTGTCACTTTTCAGAATGCAAATATGTGTTAACATCTTGTAAAATCACTAGAATTCAGCACTGATAGGAACGCGGCGTGGTTGGAAAATGGGGGAAAGGAAGGATTTTTAAGTAGAGATCTATTTATTGAGAAAATGTTTCATATTTGCTTGTGTTTCTTGCTGTTGCTTATAAACAGACTGTTGTCACTGAAGAAAAATAATTTATTTGCTACTTTCAGGAAAAAAATAGAAGCACCTAACATTTATGTACTAAAACTTCTAAACTCATAATGCACTTAAGTCTTTAGTGGTTTAATTTCTTTAGGTGATTGTCAGAGTAAACTCAGTTATTAATGAAATAGTGTTGGCAGAGTTGTTCTAGTGGAGTGTTTTTTTTTTTTTTTTTAAATTAACTTAGTGTTATGCAGCTTTGCAGAACAGTTTTTCGTAGTACTGTGTGCTGATTTCAGAAAGCTTTAGTATCCTATGTGCTCATATATGTGTTTAAATGTTCCAGGAGAAAAACAGCATTTTATTCTTCTACCTCTGTTATCTTTGATTTATATTTTATGGCTAAAGTGAAATGTACTGCTTCAGTTGTACTTAAATAATTATTTTCTATCCAGTGCTTCTTCTAAACCTGTGTCCTATCTAGAGTGTGTAGTAACCAGCAGGCATTCTTTGCCAGCGTACGGGTGGATTGCCCGTGTTTCTAACAGCAATGTATTGTTACCTGTGTGAGGGTATTGGCTGCTGGCTTTGCCATTAGCAGCAAAGATTCTACCGGAGCTCATATATACAGCTGCTTAATTCTTCATTGCTAAATACACTTCCTGAATAAATGTTATTTCATTATATCTCTTGGCCACCTTCTGTTCTTATTATGTGTCTGGTGTTTTCTGTTGCTTAGAAGGGAGGATTTAGATGTGGTGATGTGTCAATACACTTTATGCCTGTCTGCATTTAATTTTTAATTTGTGACCCCTTTGTGGCTTGCTTGCTTGCATTTTTGATGAGCTGAGATAAGAGCATTTTCCTCTCTCTTTGATTGCTCATGCATTACTGATAGCATGAATAGCCATACAGCTGCTGGGGAGGATAGATGGAGGAGAGTTTTGGGGCTATGGTGCAATTCCGGAAGGACATTCATGAAATATAAGGAAAATGAGCACAAAGACTTTAAATGTGGAGTATATATGCTATTTATTTATAAAACATAGGAAGCTTGATAGAAGAGTAACTCTTAAGACAGAAAAGGTCAGTAATAACTGGCCTATTTTGTGAGAAGTAAATCGTTGTTCAGTATAGCTTAGTACTGTGCATTTAAAATAAAGTCTTTGCTACATTTTTTTAAATGTAAAACTGAAAGCACAATTATAGTGCTGAAATGGTAATTAAAAATCAGCCTGTCATAAGGTATCTTTTATAATAGTCTGTCTGGTAGAAACAGATTTTAGTTGATCCGCTTGTATCGGTAATTTTGCTTTCTCAGCCAGTTCTTGAAGAATGTAGCGACACCAACCTTCCAGGCACCATAACCACATGAAGTTCCTTAAAACATAGTGCTACCAAATTGGTTAAGTCTTTTTTTTTTTTTCCAATAGTTTATGAAAATGTGCAAGACTTCAGCAATTTCATAAATCTAAAAGTGGCTCATATTCACCTGTGTGACTCTTCTTGTGGCAAAATTGGTTACACAAATACAAGTTTTCTGTTTTTTCTTAAGTTTCAGTTGAGGCAATATTAACTATTGCTCATGGTGATTCATGAGACTTTGAACGTTAGAATAGTTGCTCTTTCTTTAGATTAGCAGCTTTGTTTTGGTGTTAGGTCAAGGCTTATAGCAAATAGCGAATCTTGATTGAGTTGCATGCATGGACAAGTTCTTGAGTTAAGTAGCAATGCTGCGTAGCGAAGATTCCATACTCACAGAGCTAAATAGAAAAATTCTCTGTTTAAGATGGGAAAGTTGACATAGGAGACTAGACTTACCTGACAATGTTTTACTTGTTTTATTTACCAGTGATAAATGTGTGTAATTGTGGTTGGTTACATATTTTGAGGAGACCCACTTTTAGGTGGCAACTTACTGACCTAATGCTTTGGTTTAGTGCCATAGAGGTGGGTTGCATTCATTGTGGTTTCAAAGATATTTGCTCCAAAACTTATTTTACTGCTCCTGTGAGTCACAAAGCTAGTCCCTTTGTTTCTGAGTATCTGAAGTTTGACTGCTCCAGGGATACAGAAAAGTACAGTGGAAAAACTAAAACTTTCCTTACAGAAGCGTATTATCTTGGCAGCTCTTGTTATTTATTAGCACCTGCTATCCTGGTATTTACTTACTGTAGTTTATCCAGTAGTTTTGCAGATGGTAGACTTGTCCATGTAATAGAAGCAGCTGTTTGGGAACACAGCAGCTTGTCAAATGTATTAATTACACGCACAGGCAGCTGTAAAGGAACTTTACTTTTACAGGTGTTTAGCAGAGCTTACAAGCTATAGCTGACATAAACACTGGAAGTTTACATCGATCCTTTTGCAAGCAAGAGCTAGACAGTTTTGTCTTTGCTTTAGCTACCTGACTTCTTGTTTTATGTGTTGGGAGAAATCATGCAGGTAGATTACTTTGCTGACTTTAGGGTGCATGGAGGAATGTAGTAGAGATGAGTCAGTAGTTAACGTCCAATTTAAATAATGTGTTTTTTTTTTTTCCTTCTTCCCCTTCAATTTTGTTTGAGAGGTTGAGTTTTTCACTGCAATGGAAGTATTATTTCCCAGAAGGATCCTTATATGCCATCTAATGTAGTCCTGAAGATATAATCTTAGATAAGACAAAAATGAGATGTTTAAATATTGTTGGTAGGTTAGGAAGCTCTTAGAAATCAGCAGATTATTTTTTAACACAGACCAGTTCTACCTAGTAATTGTAGTTCATTTCTGTTTCAAGTTATGTATCTCTCAGTTTTGCATTTTTTTGTAATGTGCTTGTTATTTCTGAGCAGCTAATGAATCTGAGATTACAGTAACAGTTGCAAATGTTACTGTATTGTATGTATGCGGCCTGATACTACTTAAAACAATGAGTACTTGACCTGCAGAGTAGTATGTTGTTACTTCTTGTTACCAGGTACTGACTTGTTGCATTATATTAGCATTCACAGGAAACTGCCGTGGGAGAGAGCACCTCAGCTATAAGTTTAGGTGAAAGGAATTGATGAAAGTGACTCATAAAAAAAAAAGTCAGTATTTCAGTCTAATTTATTTTTTAAAGGGAAAAAAAATGGCCTCAAATTTGTGATAGAGCAAGGGAAGAGCTCGCTTCTGTTGTGGTCCAACATGTTTCCTTAACAAGTGCCCTTACGCTGGCCTTCCTCATTCCAGGCTGCTTCTCATCTTTTGCAGCAGATGAGACCATACTCTTGTTCGTAAGAGTATCATTTACAAAGCAACTGTGCATTTCTTGATATTTGTTCTCAGTACTGGTGATGAAGAAGCTTTGTGAGGGGGGAAATATTGATTATGTGATTAGGTCAATACTGTGATGCGTATCCCATAATCTGTTTGTTAAAGCTCGTGATAATATAGTTACCTGATTCAGCTATAGTAAAGTTGGCGATCATGGCAGATGCACGTTTATGGAATGCTGCAGTTCAGATTTGAGTCCATGAGATTCATGGAGTGGAATAAACTTTTTGTTTTTTA